ATATGCCTTCACCTAGTACTACATCATATTATACACCCCCTACACAATTGCAAAATTTTGGCAACACCCGTGTGTCATTGCCGAAAGAATCTAAAAGCATTGGGGGGCAATCATATCCGGAGTGGGCTGAAATTGAGAAAAAGCTTAAAGCTAATTTTGCCGCTCGCCGTCAGAAACAAATAGAAAAAGAATTGCTCAGATAAAAGAAGCATTGCCAATTGGTACTATCAATGAAAAGAAGGATGATTCCGAACATGAAAGTGCTTCGGTTGAAAAAGCCGAATCAAGTAATATATATTCTGAATCCATCAAATCCAACGAGGCAAGCATTATTGAGAAAGGGCATGGCAAGCATAGGAAAACAACGGTGTTTGATTTTTCTGAAGTTAATGGAACCTACTTCCTGCCCTATGAGTTCCGTGCCGTAGAAATTGACAAGCTTCAAGGACAAGAACAAGTAGCCGAACAAAGTTCGGCCGACAAAAATCTTCAAAGCAATGATGCACGGATTCAAGAAAAAGATGATGACAAGGTGTTGGGGAGCCATCCAAAGACGGAGCAAGATGTTCTTCAAATGGCACCACTATCATGCTCTCCCAACATATTTGAAGAGGTATGCATAGCGAGTAATTTACCTATTTTCAGATTTGGTCGCAACTTCATTATTGATGCATCTATAAGAAATATTCTCATAAGTAATTTAGAAAGACCAATGAGGAAGGGTAATTTACTTGTTAGCAGTAAAATTGTTATGGAACATATCGGTCAACCCATTGCACCATTTATAAAGACCGATAATGACTTATTGTTACAGCCAAAGCTTTTCCCGTTGCTTTCTCCAAAGTTCATATCTAGTTGGGTAGCTTTGCTTATTTCTTACTTGGCTTACACTTGGTCTCAACTGAGACATGTATGTTCTAAATATCTTCGTTTCATAAATTTAAAGCCAAGGTTAAATTCTATTGAGAAAATCGATGCTAATATAATATCATATCCAAAGACATCGGAGATAGAGTGGAAAACACAATGCATAGCCGAATGGAGAGATTCCAAATCTAAACCATTCGTTTGCTTATCTCCAAAGCCGTTAAAACAGCAAGATCGGCTAGGAAACAAGAAGTATACTTTCAATTCAAGCATGTGTGATAAAATATTTGATTTGTTGCTGAAAAATAATTACATTACAATTCTTGATCACCATGTTAAGCCATCAATCCAAGGACGAATGTACTGTAAGTTGCATGATTCGTCCAAGCATAATTTTGAGGATTGCAACGTGTTTCGTCAAATAGTTAAATCGGCCATTAAAAAAGGACGATTGAAGTTTGTTGAAACACCAAGAGATGACCAGTCTATTCCAATTGGTCCTGATGGCAAAAAGTTTCTGCATCGGCTGCTTCAAGCCGATCCATTTAAAGAGAAGGTAAAAACTGCAGGTGATGGGATCAAGCTTTCAAGTAAAGAAGTTATTGAAGAGCATAATGAACATAATCTTGAGGGCGAAAATTCCATCAAAGCTACAATGGAGACGCCAAGGACTAGGGGGCAGCAAGCAAATCCAATGATCGATGAAAGCAAACCAAAAGAAAATAAAGGCCGAAATAAGCGCAAGTGTAAGAGATCAAAAATCGCCTTCGCTGAACTATTGGATAAATATCAAAAGAATAGTGAAGAGAAGAATGCTTATCGGCCAAATCATGCAAAGAAACCAAGATCACCCCAAGGCGCAAATATGAGGATCGCTATTGGCAAAGTGATAGTTTTAATGCAACATATTCATATCCTTATTTTGGGACGCCAATGCCAGTGCCGTGGATGCTCCCTATGCTCATATAGATCCATATTCATCATGGGACAGGTATGATACAAGGGCACATTCTCCATCTTATTTTAGACCATCTCATCAATACCATGCAGCTCCAAGAAGATCAACATTCGAACAATCACGCATCAAAGACCATTTCAATCATAAGGAATTGGTCCAGAGCTCAAGGAAGAAGAAAGAGGTGGTAAAGCAAGTTTACCGCGTGAAAAGAGATGGTCGTAAGTGTGCTACTTCAGATTTGATCTCAAATAACAAAGAGCCAATTAAAGTGTTGACATTGGCTATAAAAGGCAATGAGGCAAGTCAATCAAGTGCCAAATCTGATGGGAAGAAGTTGAGAGTGCACAAGGTAAAACAAGAATTGCCATTACTTCAAACAAAATCGCAGTCGGGGTACCCACTCGGCTTATCATATTGGCAAAAGAAGAAGTTGCAAAAGCTTAGTGCACAAGAACTTGAAAAGAGAAACATGGCATGGGTTCCCAAGAGGAGCAGTCAAAATAAAAATGATGTGCATGCTTCAATTGCAACAAGTACAAAGAAAGAGAAGGATGGAAGCAACAAACAATTAAGCCGAAGATGTGCATCACAACATCAAAATCTTCGGTTAGCACATCATCCATTTTCTTCAACAATGTCATTGATGCCTTTGCCATGGAATTCATCCACAGGTATGATCAGTTACCCTCCATGGAATTATTTTGATCCATGGATGCAACATAATTTTCTATATTGTGACAGAGTATTACCAAATCACTATATATTTGGTTAGTTACATTTTTGTTGCTAAGACAAAGGGGCCTAAATATTTTATTGCTATTTTATTTGTTTATTTCGGCTATACATGCTTTAATGGATGAATTCTACATGGACCCCATGATAATGGCCGATATTTAACTATCGTCCTAAGAAACTATCCGATCATGGCCGGTGTAATATTCTTACATCGTCCTTAGTTCGAATGGAGAGCGAGACAAGTACTATGGAGATTATGTTTTGATAGTTGAATTCATAACAATGGCCATGGTGTTGGTGTTGTTTATATATCTCCATATGGTGCTGTTATGTGAAGCCTCATGTCTCTTAAAATATTTTTACACAATAATCAAAGCCGAATATGAAATTTATTCGGTTTGGAGCTTTTGGTTGCTATAGGTGCTATACAGATTGAGGCTTTCAGTGATTCGTTATAAGTGGTGCAACAAATATACAAGGGTTATCAGTGTTTTGATGAATCACTTATAGTTTATCTTGGGATATGTCTAGATGCAAAATTTACCTTGGGTTGCTTTAATATCCTTCATATATCTAGACATGAAAATTCGAAAGAGTTGGCACAGCAAGCGTCTGGCTACTATGTTAACCATGGTGTATTGCATTTCTGTCAATAGCCGATGCTAGGTCTTGTCGACATAGGTAAGGCTGAATCGAAGCCCACCGCTTCGGCCACTCATGAAACTTTTATGCATGCGAAGTAAGGATTGGAGGAAGTTCATTCTTGATTATCTGCAAAATCCTAGCGAAAGGGTGAACAATATGGTTCGGAGGATGGTTTTGATCTATGGAACCTTATCACCGGATTGTTATAGAAGCTGAGAAGTTTTCACCCAAGTTTGCATCAAGAGGTTCAAACAAGCAATGGACGATATATACTTGTCGTCCTAAGAACATGCAAATGGCCGATGGAGTGTTGACATCGTCCTTAGAACAAGCTATGCGAAAGTTATTTTTCGGCACACAAACTTTGCCGAAAAACAGGGGGGCATGTGTTGACACCAGATTTTGGCGTAGTTAAGAATCCGGGTTCGTATGCCGGACTGAACCCTTGCCGGAGTGAACCCTTGCCAGAGTGAAACCTTGCCGGAGTACAAACCTTGCCGGAGTGAACCCTTGCCGGAATGAACCCTTGCCGGAGTACAAACCTTGCCGGAGTGAACCCTTGCCGAAGTACAAACCTTGCCAGAGTGAAACCTTGCCGGTGTGAAAGCTTGACGGATAGAAACATTGTCGGCGTGGAAAGCTTACTCGGATAGAAAACTTGCCGGATTGGAGGCTGTGATAGTCAAACGGACGAGAAATTGAAAATGGGCTCAAAAGGTTATTCAGATGATCTCGGATGGGAAAACGTTCAACATGAAAGTTGTTCGTCTCGTCGAAACGGTCGATTTTCATATAAAGATCGTCCCAATCCGAATTCTTATGCAAAAGTTAGAGCCGCTACAAGATGCTGCTACAGTAGATGGCCGGACACTTTTCTGCTGCAGACTTCGGAAAACAGCCAAAAACTCTCTCAAGATGGTTTCTAATCAAAAAACGTTCAACATGAGAGTTTTTCGTCTCGTTGAATCGATTGATTTTGATATAAAAATCATTTCAATCCGAGTTCGTATGCAAAAGTTAGAGCCATCGGAATACAGCCCTGTCAGGAGGCAAAAAACTGGCGCGCCCCACCAGACACCCTGTCTGATGGGTAGCGCGAGGATATTCTGTTTTGCGCGACCGATTTGACCCTCAAGATGACCTCGGATCAAAAAATGTTCAACATGAAAGTTGTCCGTCTCGTCGAAACGGTCAAGATTGCTTTTGTGCTCGTTTTCATCCGAAGTCGTTTACGGCCACAAAAAAGACCCGCAAGGTGCAGCCAATTTAAACCGAACAGTTTTGGAAAGTTCGGATAAAACCAGTCTGGATTTGACTAGGGTTTTGGACGTGAATTGATGTAATTTTCTTGTAAGGAAAGCTTAGATAAATCCTTTGCTTGTACGGGAAGTCCAGCCGCCACTTATATATGTTGGGGGTGACGGCCGATTGAAAACAACACACAATCGAACAAACACATCTACTACGTTTTCGTGTTCATCTATCTTTATCCCCTACCCTTGTATCTTTCTTTCTCATTCTTCGTTCGTTCTTCGCGTTGGAGGGCAGCGATCCACGAGGCTCTAGGGGCGAGCGAATCGATCTAGGGCAGCCCATAGCCGCCGCACTCCCTGACGGGGTCCCTCCCGGGCGTGTGGGGTTTCGGGTCTTCAAAAGCGCCCGCCGACTGTCCTGCGTATCGCGCTGTCGGTCGGGTCTCCTTCGACGTGAGCTGCGGTGCATCACCCCCGGCGTCGAGGGTACACGTGACGTGTTCGTGTGTCAACACACTCTCTTCATCGAGAAGCTAGAGAACATGGCCGCCAGCAACGGCGGCGCGCTCCCCGTGGTGGATCTGGCACCGTTCTTCGCCAGGGACGGCGCCGACGACGCGGGCGCGCGCGCCCGGGCCACCGAGGCCGTGCGCGAGGCGTGCCAGGCCACCGGGTTCTTCCGCGCGGTGAACCACGGCGTGCCGCGGGAGCTCATGGCGCGCGTGCTCGAGCTGTCGGCGGCGTTCTTCGCGCTGCCGGACGAGGAGAAGGCCAAGGTGCGGCCCGCCGAGGGCGCCTCCGCTGCGCCGCTCCCGGTGGGGTACGCGCGGCAGCCGGCGCACTCCGACGACAAGAACGAGTACCCGCTCCTCTTCAACCCCAACCTCGGGCTCAACCACTACCCCGCCCAGCCGACCGGATTCAGGTTAGTCCGTCCTTACTCTGCTTCAGTTGTGAATTCTGATTGTACTAGTGCCTAGCAACTCTGTTTCAGTTCTGATTTGTGAGTGTGTCACAGAGACAGACAGAACTCCATTTTTTTCCCTTTGCATCAACTTTCCCCTGGCATATAAATAAACTGAAAGAAAAAGAATTCATCTTCAGAGATGCGCTGGAGGAGTGCTACGCGAAGCTCGCCGAGCTGGGGCTGCTCGTCCAGGACATCCTGAGCGAGTGCATGGGCCTGCCACGAGGCTTCCTCGCTGAGTACAACGCCGACCGCGGCTTCGACTTCCTCACCGCGCTTCGCTACTTCCCGGCGACATCCTCCGACGAGAACAACGGCATCAGCGCGCACGAGGACGGCAACTGCATCACCTTCGTCCTGCAGGACGGCGTCGGGGGGCTGGAGGTGCTCGGGGCAGACGGCCGCTGGGTCCCCGCGGAGCCCGTGGAGGGCAGCATCGTGGTCAACGTGGGCGACGTCCTGCAGGTGCTGAGCAACAAGAAGTTCAAGAGCGCCACGCATAGGGTGGTGAGAAGGCCGGGGGCGCACCGCCACTCGATCGCCTTCTTCCTCAACCTCCACGGCGACAAGTGGGTCGAGCCGCTGCCGGAGTTCGCGGGCCACGCCGGCGAGCCGCCGCGGTACAGAGGGTTCCGATACAACGAGTACATGCAGCTGCGGATGAGGAACAAGACCCACCCGCCGGCCAGGCCCGAGGACGTCGTCCACATCACCCATTACGAGATCTAGCGAGCAAAAGCTTGCTTCCATTCCATGATCCATGGCGTACTCTGCCTTTTTTCTCTGTATAGTGTCTTAAATTTCAGTTCGTCCTCTGTTTGTCGTGTGAACGGAACGGTGAAGCGTAGTTCAGTCGAAGCATTGGATTGTTATACAACCCAACCCAAAGAAGAAGATGGGTGGAATCACCTCCTCACCTATGCCGAAGAATCTAGCGGATGTGAGCGGTTTGTTTTCTAATCTAATTAGCAAAATGACGTGCGCTGCTTTATTAGGCCTTGTACAATGGGTGATGCTTAGGAGAGGTGCTTAGAGAAATAAACCAGGCTTTCCTTAAGCACCGGTGCTTATTTGTACAGGGTAGACGCTTAACTAAGCATCTCTCCTGAAAAAATAGGCACCGGTGCTTCAAAAAACTCGGTTTATTTTTCTAAGCACCTCTCTAAGCACCTTCCATTGTACAAGGCCTTAAGAATCTACTCCCTCTGTTTCAAAATAGATGACCCAACTTTAAACTAACATTATAGTAAAGTTAGTATAAAGTTGAGTCATCTATTTTGGAACATAGGGAGTACCTCGCAACAGATCCGCACGAGTCTATTCCTGTACGATCCACTTCTTCCGATAGTTTTTTTCTGCCGTGCCAACCATCTCTGATTTTTCGGTAAAAAAAATGAAGAAACTGGGAGTCAAACCCACTGCCCCTTGATATGTCATGGTTGTTTGCAACCAACTTGTTTAGATTGAGCTATTGACTAGAAGGAGCTTAGATAGTATGTGTACTACTACGTAATCGCATTACGTAAAAACAAACCATTTTGTTATCTTCCTTTTGTACTGTTTTATCGTTATCCTATTTAGAGGGCTCGGCAGCACAAGGGTTTGAACCCACGTTCTCTACTCCACATACCCGACGCTCTTATCAAATTTATTAGGTTCAAAAGTTACCAACCCCAAAGGTACAAAAGTTATCAGTCTTGTGGTATGTAACTTACCACACTTCTTACACATGAGTTATCGGCAGATATTTAGACATTTTTTTCAAGAGTTACCACAGGGTGTTGTACATAAAATTATCATGTTTTGTGGTCCGTAAAAACCATGCTACTTACACAAAAGTTATCGAGGGATTTTTCACGAACTTTTTCCCAGGTCAAAGTTACCATGATGTTTGTGCGTAAGTTATCATGTCAGCGGTACATAACTTATCATATTATTTACACAGAAATTGTCGAAGGTATGTTTCAAGCACCCTTTGTGTCAAAATGTTACCACCATGTTTATATCTAAATTATCAGGGTTGCGTGCATAAAATATGATGCTATCAC